CAAACTGGAAGACACCCTGAGTAGTTCTCACATACTCTTCACTCATTGCGGCCTGGATAACTCTGAATGTTTCTGCAACAGGACTCGATGGCTTGGTCGGTGCAGAGCCTGTGTTCGCCTCAGCTCCTCTACCTTGGGATCCGCTTAATTTCTTCTCCTCTCTGAATGCTTGGGCAGCACCTACAAGAAAGAGATTATTTTCCTCTTTCAAATGCCAAACACTTTAAATCTGCACGTAGAAACATGTAGAGCACTGGGTTTGAACACACTGAAGCCTCAGAGTAGGAAAAATTAATATTTTCCCCTTTCAGTACTGATGAAGGATGGTTTTGGCACCTGGGAATCTGAACAGCTGTAGAGCACTAAAGGTACTTCTGCAATATATTTCACTTCCCAAGATGTCCAAAGAAAAGTTAAAATAAAACGATAGCAAAATCCTAATCCTGGCTGTGCACAGACCCCTACGAACGCTTAAGCGGCACGTTGCTTTCTAACACAATCCACACACTCCTGACAGCACTCACAAAAAACCAAATCAGTGTCTTTATTAAATACCTGTTTCACCTCAAAATATTTTTGCCTTGTCTGTCTTGCCAAGAACATGGATGTTTTCATTAACTCTCTGCAAAGGCTTCTGAGCTGTAAAGAAGTCACTGCTTTAATCAGCATTTTACTCTCCCACAGTCAACACCGACACTGAACAAGAAAGGACAGCAGTTGCAATTTACAAAGCTGATCAAGTCGAACAGCCTCTGAAACATTGTCCAAAGTCTCTTTGGTGTCTTAACTATCACAAAATAGTTGGGACCATTCTGTGAGTCCCTCCTGAACAAGTTGTGCTGTGAGGCCCAGGGAACTAACCCCATCAGTCCCTGGCAGAACAGTCCCAGTGCGACTGCTCAGAGAGTACTTTTGAGGGAAAAGGACTGTTCACCCTTTGCTGCCTCTGCAATTCTCTTGTCCCTCTTTTGGCACTTCTGTGAAACCTGTTCAGCGTTCTTAGTTGCCCTCCTACTTGACACACTGCAATTCTGAAACAGCAAGCCTGATGCTTTTCTAAAAAAGATTTATTAATTTCACCTAAGAGATACTTAGATTGTGTAAATGGTACAAGTTTTATCTTAGAAGCAATGGAGGCTCTACCTTGTTTTCCTTTGTATAAATTTAGCAGGGCAAATGAGACACTCCTGCAAAATGTGCAGTAGACTATTTAATTTCTTTTTCCAGCAGTATTTACCTGTGATGTTCATACTAGGTTAAAAAAGGATTCTTCAAAATAAGGCACTGATTTTATACCAAGAAGTTCTGCCGGAGGTAACATTATTTCCCTAGCTTTAGGTACACAGTCATTTCTATAAATCATACCCTCTAATTGAGGAAAGGGTTTTTTGCCCCTTTTTGAATAGAGTGCAAGCTCTTGAGAGAAAAGAAAAAACAACTTGAAATAGAGAGGGCATTCATTATTGTCAGAAATTACTGACTTTTACATAGAGTGTTTTCCCTACCATATCTTTCTCGTTTCATGGTTGTTGTGTCAGTTTCAACATCCAAGAAGAAGTCAGGTATCAGAGGGTGACCTAAAAGGGAGGAAAAAATGTACAGTAAGTCTGAGTGAAGTTGGACAGCACAAAGAGGAATCCATTTCATATGAAACTACAGCCAAGTTTACAAGTAAATAAGCTACAATTTGAAGGAAAGACATAGCATGAAATAACATGTTTAGAGTTTGCTTCATTTAAAATCTGACCTAGAAGCCCTCTTAAAAGTTGCAATGAAAAACAGCTGAAGAAGAAAAAAAAAAATCTATCCCATTAGCCGATAAATAGTAATATATACCTCTACAGTGCAGGTACATTTTCTTTTCATTAAAGTATTTTTTAAAAATTCAATAGGCACTTGATGATTACAATCTCAGTAATGTGCTTTCCAGGAAGGCATATTCTGAAAGCTGAGGCAAAACAACTTTTTACAGACTAATGTAAGAAACAAAACTATATTGTATATACTAATATATTCCATACAGACAATATTCTATACTAATATTCTCCATGCAGCCTTCCCTCCTTCCTGAACTCACTTCTCATCTTAGAGATCTGTTTTACCTGGTGCAATTGCATAGACATCAAAATCTTTAACTCCTTCTTCTCTCAGCAGAACTTCATCAATAATGAAGTTTCCAGTGAAACTTTTGGGCTTTGTTAAAATGCAATACGCAGCATCTGCAATGATGTCCGTTTTCCTGCACTGTTTTTCTATTCCAGCTCCTCCCAGCATATCCATGGTAGCTGTATGTATGGCTACAAAGTTTGGAGGGCAAGAAAACACAGCGTTAACACTGAAGACATGAAATTCCCATTTCTCTGGCAAGTATACAATCTTTGTTTCTGTTTCATACAAAAGGAAATTGTAGGAAGACAAAGCTATGAAATACTACCAACCAACAAATAATTCTCTACAAGAACTACTGAAAAACAGATAACTATTAAGGGAACCAAAAAGTGGAATAAAGGGCAGGATGTTTCATGCCATTCACATCCCCCTATCCGTTTATCACTGCTGCACCCCCCGATTTCCTCCAGGTTATTCAGGACATGAAGAACTAACAGGACAACTATTTTTCTCAAAGTGAATGTATAATATATCAGTTATTATGGGGTATTTCCTTTGGCTATTATCACACTAAAAATCTTGATGTTTAATTTTAGCCTTGTAATAACTCCCATGAGACACTGAAGTGTCTCTTCTAAGTTAGTGAGGAACCAAATAGTAAAAACCAAAGTAACTTGTTCAATATTCCACAGAAAGGCTGAGTTAGACCCAAGAACGAAATCCAGATGTCCTAAGCTTCTGGTTGTTTTATGAACTGATTCTACTAAGTTCTGCATCATTCCATTAGTCTTCTTTATGCTTCACCCAGGGGGGCTACCAACATAGTGGCATGTTCCAGTCTAAGTCTGTTGCTCTTCCAGGCTGAGGTTATCTATTTCATTTTGTTTTCACCCTTTTCCACAAAGACACTGTTTGGCTGTAACTTTGGCATTTGCCATGTAACTGATTTCCCCTCATACAGTTCTGCTTCATGACTTTTTCCCGTCTGCTGTTTAAGACTTGACACTCAGCCCCCAAGTTCTGGGATAGATTTGCAAATCCTGTCCTACACCTGGGGCTGGCAGATTCTAGAGGCACAAGGATAAAACTGATTTTAAACCATTTTTGTCCTCCTTTCAGTGTTTCCATTCCACACAAAGCAAGAGCAGCTTTGATGGAGAAATGATCCCAACTTCCCTTAAAAAGCAAAGAATAGGCACTATGCAGGACACATCCATCTGAGCTGGATCATTCACCTTCCATAGCAGAAAGTGGGAAAAAGAACAGCAGTCTTCAAAGCTGGACAGGGAGATCCTGTCAAACTGTTTTCTAGGAAAGTGCAAGAGTGGGTAGATGTCCTTGTTGACTCCCTTATTTTACTCTTCTAGGGTAAGGATCAGCCCCTAAGTTTCATGTACTTTGACCAACCTCAGCTTCTTTTTTTCAAATCAACTCAACTGCTGTAAATATGGACCTATATAAAAAGTGGCAAATAGATATACTTTACATATACCTCGGTCTCCCTAGGTTTTTTCTCATATTTAAGGATAAGAAATAAATTTGCCTTTCTTTGGTCCTCTGAAATGCCATCTGTCCTGCAAGAATATTTAATTGTTTTAAAATAACTATCAACAGTTCAGAGAATATTTCTGTCAGATACTCTGATGAAAGTTACCAGGTTCTGTTAACCTAATATATTCCACTGTTCTGAGAGTCCATTAACCTGTTCAGTTGTCCTGGACCACGTTTCTGCCACTTCTCTGTTAGTGTCAACTATTGTTCTTCTGAGCACAGTAAGCCTACATTGATAGACTGAAGCAAAAAGGTTTTAAACAGGTACTGCATCATAGTCTGGCTGCACATTGTTCCACCTATTTCATATAAAATGCTGCTGGTTTTCCTCTAATGCACATGAAGAGTCTTCCAGGTACCCTGTCCCAGGATACCTCTATTGTTCATATGCATTGTTAGTGATGGGATTGCCCCTTGCCCTTTTGGTAGGCTTCGTCTTTATTTTCCGATAAATGGAGAGCTCCTGGCATCTTATTACCAGCATACTTCCATGTGTTTCAAGAGTGGGATTAAACAGATAACTGGCATCCATACTAGCATTGAGGCTAATCACATTTGTATGCGATTATAGTGGGTTTTTTAATTAAGAACTTTGCAACTGTATTTGAGATACCGTGGAATCTGTAACTCTATCTCTCTGGTGACCACATGGAAGTGGTTAACTTTCTCACTTTTGGATGACGAGCCTTTCAAAAGAACATTTTTTGTACTGCAGAATTTGCACATTATTTATCCTCTTTTATACTTGAGGGCACATCAGTTTTCATGGAGGCATCACTGATTTACAGAAACTTTGAGAACTCATCTAATGTTTCTACCAGTCTTAAACTGAATGAGCAAGAATGGATTCAGCAAATACCAAGCTCTGACTGCATACCTTTGATTTTAAAGAAAGCTTAATTACTTTCTGATTACTTTGCAGCATCTCACAAAGAGAAATCTTTACTTAAAAAAGCATTTATTAGAATACAATGTTGTCATTTGTAAAATGAATCTTCTTACGCTTCCAAGCCTCATGTTCTGCAGGTTCCTGAGGGGAATGGATATTAGGTGCACTCTATAACAAGTGCCAGTTTCTGCAGTGTTATCCTCATACTTATTTTAGAAGGTACAAGTATGTTACCAAGGACACAGTGGTACTCTAATGCACAAGAGAAAGATACTCCCTTCTGTGGTTTGGGTTCCCCGCCCCCCCAATAAGAATGTGAGACTTTGTAGAAGTTGAATTAATGCAATCATAGACATCCTTTGACATCAGACTGTATTCGAGACACTGGTACTATTACTGACATTTGGAATGCTAGAGCATATACAAACACTGGAAAGACATAATGTATTCAGCTATGCAGCATAAGCCTATGAAGTTATCCATCCCTCTGAAAAATGTCTGATTGTGAGTGGGTGGACAAATTCTCCCAAGTTCTGTTTTCCCTTGCCATGAAAAACAGGAGGCCAAATTATTCAGATGGGTGGGGGAAACACCTACACTGCAAAATAAAGACCTAGGATAACCAGCTGGTCTCTGCAAGAACAATTCTTTAGCTTTCAACGGTTTGTTGGGACCCATAAAACCACTGACTCATTTCCACAATAGTAGCGGATGTTTCCTCCAGCATATCCAGAATCATAAAGAGGTGCTGAAGAATCAGAGAGCTGTGGAGGGTGCATGTAATATGCCTACACAGCATGTAAATTCGTGCATTTACTAGACAAAGGTACTGTTGTAACACCTTTTGCATGAGAAAATAAATCAAATTAGTAATGTTGTCTGCAGCTTGATACCATTCTCTCTGGTCTGAATTAGATACTCTGAACTAATTCCTTCATTGTTCCTAACTCTCATATACAGTTTCATAGCTTAGTCAGTCAGTGACCAAAGACCACAAAATGGTAGATGAAAGATCACCTCTGCTAATGGAAAACTAACTTACTCCTACGGATAGGACCCTGAGCAGATACAAAACCCAGTTAGCAGTGGCATCTTAGGGACAAGCCAGGCAGGATGGGCATAAGTCTAGGGAGCTAAAGGCTTTAAGAACCAAGTTTCCTTGCTCTGTTCCAGATAGCAAAGATAGATCCTGGGAAATATCCGCTCAAACTTTTCTAAGGTTTCCCTGGAGTACTCAAGAAGCAAGTATGTGGAAACAAGTGCATGTTTCTTCTAACTCCTTCAGAAATAAAAAAACACAACAGACCCAAAACCTGAAAGGTGAACTCTCACTCCACTGCAAGGAAAGCAATCCAGACCCTGAAGTTACACATGCAGTTGCCTTCAGTACACCGAAGATGAAGAGCTTATTCTCTTCAAAATAGACAAGATGACATAATCATCACGAATAATATAATTCCAAAAGTCAATCTCTTACCAAAATATTTCTATGGGTAAAACTCATAGTATGAGGCAGAATTATGAGGCTTCCATTTACCTGGGAGAATTTAGGATGCAAGCATCCAGACCAATGAAAAAGGACCATGTCTGCAAGACATACTAACCCAACTATTCAACTGAGTATCACCTAGGGTATGTAAGTGTCCTGGGTCCAGCTGGGATAGGGTTAATTCTTCACAGAAGCTGGGAGTTGGGCATAGCCGGATATTCGATACCATGCTGACGTCATGCCCGGGATATAAGGGGAAGCTAGCCGGGAGAGGGGTCTCTTTTGTGAAGCTCGTGGTGGTGAGATTTTCATTGTATCAGTGTTTCCATTGTACTCTATATCTTGTCTTATTGTTATATTCTTCTTTCTTTTGCTTTCCTCGTGTGGTATTATTAAAAATCTGTCGTTATCTCAACTCAGGAGGTTCCACTTTTTCTTATTTGCCCCCATCTTACCGGGAGAGGAGTGGGGGGGGGAGGCGGTGTTGCGACCACGTGGTGGTGGTGGTCCTGACACCAAGACAGTAAGCAAAGAAACTCAACTGATTTTGTCTCAAATAATTACGTTTCGCTCATGTTCCTCACTTTAGAGGAAGCAAATCAGAGAGCTTCCACACTATAGTGTTAAAAGGGCAAAAAGTGTCTGGGTACAAACCCTTCCTACACTGGAGCACCAGCCCCAGTAGAGGATCTTGGTTAATTTCCTGTTCCTTTCTCCCTCCCTCCACTAGCTAAGGGAATAAACTCTGCAGCTGTAATGTTTCATAACAAGATGACTGGGCTCATACCATTAAAGGGCAAGATTAAACTCTGTTGCTGATTTTAACATCACTATAATTTCTGCACATAGATGTATCTGGGATGAAGAAACTGGCTTCTTAAGCAAACAGCTGACTAAATCTTCAACAGCAGCCCTGATCCTCATAGACCCATAGAAAACAAACTGAAGTTAATACAATGTGGGAGCATTGAGATGTTTTTCTTCCACAGAGGTCTTCAATTTCCTGTGACTTGGAAGCAGATGGTTCTGTGAGCAACCATTTGCTGGCCCACTGCACCAAAACTTCCAGGAACAGGGATTTTTAAAAATTATTTCTGCATTTACAGAGGTATATATCTTGTCCGTTCCATCTACACTCTGGCAATTTAAGTAGCAAGGAAATCTACACAGTACTACATATGCAGACGTTTAACAGCTTCTAATGAAAGTATGCTAATACTTTTGTGATTCTGTCCAAACCAAAACTCTGGGTGCAAGAAAATGAGCACAGAGAAGCCAAATACTACACAGATGCTTCAGCCAACTGAAAGGGTTGCAAACTAGCTTAAAATGAGTTTGGATCAAAGCAGCAATGGTCTAGTAAGAGCTAAGAATGAAAACCAGCACCCACGCACGATGAACGAAGAATATGCAAAAGAACTGTTCAGTCTCCTCAATCAATTCCAAAAGAAGTTTGAAGTATAATCAAAGATAAATAAAACAAGCTGTAGAAGATAAAATACAGAAAGTCACTATTTTAGTACCATGAAAAAAAAAAAAAATCACCTGTTTTAGGCCATAAGGCATTGACAGCCACTTCTCCTCTGAATTCTTCTGCCATTCCCAAGACACACATGGACATCCCATATTTAGAAATGGTATAAGCTAAGACAAGAAGTATAAAAAAGGTAAAAATTTACTTGCTATCAACAGAACTTTAATTATGAAGGAAAGAAAAAGCGAATTATTTGTTCATATGGAAAATTAACGTTTTGGGGACAAAACAGTATCTTCCTACAGTCAAAATCTCTCCCTTCTCCCCACCACCCCCAGAAGATACAAACTGTAGTCTGCCATCTTTTCAATACAAATAAAATGAGAGCTACACGTTTTGACAAAAACAACAACTGAAGCCTAGCCGTATGGTGCTTTTGTTGTGCTTTTTATACACAGCACACTGACAAGAGTGGCCAATTTTTTCAAGAGGTTTAAGGCATACTAGCTGCTAATGACCAAATTAGTATTCTATAGAAAACAAAAAGTGGGGAAGGAGGGGAAGGATATTCTAAATCCTGTCATCTGTCTATTTTGAGAAGGGAAACTTTCTGGGGGAAAGGACTAGGACTCGCTGTAGGAGTTTAACATTACAAGCATCCAAAATTGAAAGGGTTTTTTACAGTTTTTAAATGAACAACATTAACCTCAAGACAACAGAATTAATTTCCATTTTAAAAGACAACACTGAAATTTATTTCTCAAACGTGAAGCTGAATCAGTAAGAAAACAGATTTTGGGTTTCAGTCTCTATTTGGAACAGAAAATATTTTGTATTCTTAAGAATTCCCATGAAAAAGCACAGACTCTTACCTTGAAAACATTCTTGAAAACATAAAGTACATATTAGGCCATGAAACCTGCACTACATTTTCCCACAAAACAATTTATTTTAGGTTAGGTACAAAATACTCCAGGGAACTGCTAGTGCCAGTCTGTATATAGTGCTAAAGATACAAGACCTGGCATTCTGGGCTGGCACTCCGGCAGATTTCACCAGCTATTTACGTGGTTCTCAAAAAATAACAAGACACTGAATACTACTCACCACAATGATTTTTGAACCACATGGGATTTAGATTCATGGGTGGACTGAGGTTCAGGATATGGGGGTTCTTACTCTTCCTCAAGTGCGGAAGACATGTTTTAGACCTGAAAGACAGATTCAGACAAATCAGTCACCTCTTATTTTATGGAAAACCTATAATTACAGGAAAAACCATACTAGCAGACCAGTATTTTCATTTTCGTTGAAGTCCAACACTAAGCTGAGACCATGCCCTTGTCTCAATTATTGCACTGATATAAAGAAAAACAAACAAAAAAATCTGTCCTAGCTCACTTATCTCAGGACTGGTATTCGTTCCTAAAAAATGGACCACATTTTCCAAATAGCACAGGAGCATCTACTAAAGCTGATTTTCCAGATGCTCAGAAGCTATAATGTCCTTGTAATTGTTCTGGTAGGGGCAACAAAACACTAAGAGGCAACAAGAGAAATTAACACTGCAGCGCATCATTTAGTCATATTCTTTCTGATCACATACCTATTTCTTCTTTAAAACTACGTTAAAGAAATAATACTGTATAGTGAAAGGTCATTACCAATATTCCAAGCAAAACTGAAAACCTGTTCTCTCCTGACTGGATGAGTCACTATTTCATTAAAATTAGAATTTACACATATCTGTAAATCTTAACTTTTACTCTATAGAAACCATCATTTGACTTCACTTCTAGCACTAGGGTACATGTTTACATTTGATCTCTACTGGAGAATTTTTAATCAAGCTTCACAGGGAGAACAGCACCACTGTGGACGACAGTACTAACCTACTATTCACAGATTTCAACAGTACCTACACATACTGTCTGCCACAAAAGGGACACCTTCAACTGCAAAATCACTAAAATAGTAAAGTAAACCATATACCACCTGCTTAAATGTCCTGGGGTCTCATCTCTTCAGTGGCAGTGTGCGAGGTTCACTAACAGATGTCTCTATTTCTTAATGCACAGGAACCAAGAATATGTCAACAGTTAAAATGGGAGATCCTCCCTAACTCCTCCACACAGACAAAAAATCTGCACCATTATTTTTTTTGTTAGATATTATAATTTTCACAACTTTAAATTGGAAACAGATCTCTAAAAAATCATGAACAGAAGCAACATACAAAGCAAGGGAAAGAAAAGGCTAAAATGCTTGACTAAGTCTTCCCAACTGACAACTATAAAAGCAATGACAACGAACATTCGTAACTTCCCTTGACAAGCACTGATCTTTCATATACTCTTCCACTCACAGCAACATAGAACCTGCTTTTTAATCTTTTTAAGGCAGAGTGGCACCAACAACTTTAAGAAATCTAAATTAATTTGGAATAGCTAGATGTACCATCAAGTGACTGTTGCTGCTGAGTGGTGAAGGGTCAACACAGCTTGCCACTGACAATACAGTGGAATCCATTCAGAGATTTAGCAAGAGAGATCCACAGAGCATTTTCTGATCTCTGATCTCCTTCTATGACCAGGTGATCCGCCTAGTGGATGAGGGAAAGGCCGTGGATGTCATCTACTTGGACTTTAGCAAGGGCTTCGACACCATGTTCCATAGCATTCTCCTAGAAAAGCTAGTGGCTCATGGCTTAGACAGGAACACCCTTTGCTGGATAAAAAACTGTCTGGATGGCCAAGCCCAGAGAGTCGTGGTGAACGGAGT